AGAGTAGAGTAGAGTAGAGTAGGCTAGGGTAGGGTAGGGTAGAGTAGGGCAGGGCAGAGCAGAGTAGAGTAGAGTAGAGTAGAGTAGAGTAGAGTAGAGTAGAGTAGAGTAGAGTAGAGTAGAGTAGAGTAGAGTAGGGTAGGGTAGGGTAGGGTAGGGTAGGGTAGAGTAGAGTAGAGAGTGGAGTAGAGTAGAGTAGAGTAGAGTAGAGTAGGCTAGGGTAGGGTAGGGTAGAGTAGGGCAGGGCAGAGCAGAGTAGAGTAGAGTAGGGTAGAGTAGAGTAGAGTAGAGTAGGCTAGGGTAGGGTAGAGTAGGGCAGGGCAGAGCAGAGTAGAGTAGAGTAGGGTAGAGTAGAGTAGAGTAGGGTAGGGTAGGGTAGGGTAGAGTAGAGTAGAGTAGAGTAGAGTAGAGTAGAGTAGAGTAGAGTAGAGTGGAGTAGAGTAGAGTAGAGTAGGCTAGGGTAGGGTAGGGTAGAGTAGGGCAGGGCAGAGCAGAGTAGAGTAGAGTGGGGTAGAGTAGAGTAGAGTAGAGTAGGCTAGGGTAGGGTAGAGTAGGGCAGGGCAGAGCAGAGTAGAGAGTAGGGTAGAGTAGAGTAGAGTAGGGTAGGGTAGGGTAGGGTAGGGTAGAGTAGAGTAGAGTAGGGTAGAGTAGAGTAGAGTAGAGTAGAGTGGAGTAGAGTAGAGTAGAGTGGAGTAGAGTAGAGTGGGCTAGGGTAGGGTAGGGTAGAGTAGGGCAGGGCAGAGCAGAGCAGAGTAGAGTAGAGTAGAGTAGAGTAGAGTAGAGTAGGGTAGGGTAGGGTAGGGTAGGGTAGAGTAGAGTAGAGTAGAGTAGAGTGGAGTGGAGTAGAGTAGAGTGGAGTAGAGTAGAGTAGAGTAGAGTAGAGTAGAGTAGGCTAGGATAGGATAGGGTAGAGTAGGGCAGGGCAGAGTAGAGTAGAGTAGAGTAGAGTAGGGTAGAGTAGAGTAGAGTAGGGTAGGGTAGGGTAGGGTAGAGTAGAGTAGGGCAGAGCAGAGCAGAGTAGGGTAGAGTAGCGTAGAGTAGAGTAGAGTAGAGTAGAGTAGAGTAGAGTAGAGTAGAGTAGAGTAGAGTAGAGTAGAGTAGAGTAGAGTAGAGTAGAGTAGAGCAGAGTAGAGTAGAGTGAATCTTCTCCACATTCTCTGCAGACAGCTGTGTGTGGGACGGGGAGACAGTCTGACGAGGGTCCAGGATCCTGGGGGCCTCAGATACAGGGGCCACTGACCCTGGGCCCGCGCTCTGTCAGGGGACGTTAGGCTGACGGGGACACAGGGAGGGGCGGGGCTTAGGAGAGAGGAGGGGGCGGAGCGCACGAGGCAGAGGAGGGGGCAGGACAGTGGCGCCCCCTGATGGACCATGACTCCAGGTGTTTGTCAGGGATTTGATTTGAGATATATTACATTGAATTGAGTTCCAAGAGGTCTCCCATCACAGTAGTGACCAACCCATGTCCTGCTGAGCTTCACTGTTCTATACAAATAAACATGTTGAAAAGATGAAAAGATGGAAACATCATAAAAACAAATTCAAGAATCACGAGATCAAATAAATAAAATAAAACCAAAATAAATAAAAGTAAAAGAATAAAACTAAAAACAGACCGAGAGAAAAGTCGAGGCATAAAATGGATTCTTAAGAAAAGACTTAAAACAGTCCAGAGCGGGAGCTCGGAGTAGAGCCGCTGCTCCTCCATTTGATGAGGAGCCAGTGGAGGATGCTCTTCTGTTTAGGAGGCCTCCTGGTCTCCTCGCTGAGGAGGTGTTCTGAGCATGTCCCACCAGGAGGAGACCAGGAGTAGACCAGGAGGAGACCGGGAGGAGACCAGGAGGAGACCAGGAGGAGACCGGGAGGAGACCGGGAGGAGACCAGGAGGAGACCAGGAGGAGACCAGGAGTAGACCAGGAGGAGACCAGGAGGAGACCAGGAGGAGACCAGGAGGAGACCAGAAGTAGACCAGGAGGAGACCAGGAGTAGACCAGGAGGAGACCAGGAGGAGACCGGGAGGAGACCAGGAGGAGACCGGGAGGAGACCAGGAGGAGACCGGGAGTAGACCAGGAGGAGACCAGGAGTAGACCAGGAGGAGACCAGGAGGAGACCAGGAGGAGACCAGGAGGAGACCAGGAGGAGACCAGGAGGAGACCAGGAGGAGACCAGGAGGAGACCAGGAGGAGACCAGGAGTAGACCAGGAGGAGACCAGGAGGAGACCGGGAGGAGACCAGGAGGAGACCGGGAGGAGACCAGGAGGAGACCGGGAGGAGACCAGGAGTAGACCAGGAGGAGACCAGGAGGACACCGGGAGGAGACCAGGAGGAGACCAGGAGGAGACCCAGCACTCAGAGGACTGTTTCTGCCTCAGGATTCCCCCAGATGAGCCGGAGAAGTGTGTGAGAGGGAAGTCTGTGTTTCTGCTCAGATGGCTGCCGCCGCGACCCAGCAACGGATAAAGCAGAAGAAGTTTAGAACATGTTTCCAGATCACAGGTCATGAACCAATCATATCTGACTTTCTCTGAACAAAGATTTACAGAAGAATTATTCCTCATTCCTTCACACACAGACACACACACACTGACAAACACACACACACTCACACACACACACACACACACTGACAAACACACACACACTCACACACACACACACACACACTGACAAACACACACACACACACACACACACACTGACAAACACACACACACTCACACACTGACAAACACACACACACTCACACACACACACACACTGACAAACACACACACACACTCACACACACACACTGACAAACACACACATACACACACACACACACACAAACACACACATACACTGACAAACACACACACACACACTGACAAACACACACACACACACACACTGACAAACACACACACACTCACACACACTGACAAACACACACACACACACACACACACACACACACACACACACACACACGCACACACTCACACACACGCACACACGCACACACTCACACACACGCGCACACGCACAAGTAGATAGTATAGGCACCTATCAAGAGCAAGTGGTGAAAAGGTGGTACTGCACCCTAAAATCCCCCAGAAAAGAGGTACCGCTATTGAGCAAGTGGTGAAAGGTGTTACTGCACGGTATTTTTCAAAGAGTTTTAATGAGTTAGCTTCTGTGTGTGTGTGATAATGCTTCACAGTTGTCTAAAGTGATTTATGATCACGGTTTATTCTAAAACAGCTAAGTTGCAGGTCCTCCCTGTTAACGGCACTTAGGTGT